TACGGACAGTTGGAGGAGTGGTTAGTCCAGCTGTAAATCTTCTCTCAGCCTGTAAACATGCAGCTAAAGGCTGCAGTTGTTGACATCCTACAACGAGAACAGTATCCCTCACGCGGTAACAACGGCTGCCTCGCAGGGATTTGGTTTGTTACTTTTGTACGGGAAGCCCGGCGGACGATGAATTAACGTGCAAAGATTTTGCAATGACAACAAGTGGTCAAGCAAGACTGCATCCTTGCCCAAATCCCCCGCTCAACCTCGCGCTCTCTGCAATGTTGACGAATGTTTACCGAGGGTCGACCGAGCATGCCTCGGTGTAAACTAGCGAAACGAATAAAAACCACCAAACACAGGCTAAGTTCAAACAGTTACAAACACCAGGAGACTGCGCATAGAAGCATACAACTGCAGTGGACTCAGTTCATGCACCAACTGGTGACAGCTACCAAATCGCGAATTTGGAGGGATTCCTAGCGATAATTTTCTCGCGGCGACATTTCAGTTCCATTAACTGGCATCACCATATCGCGGACCACCAAAGTTTGGCAATAAGATTGCAGATCAGGTCTTTAGGACCGAGCGGGCCTTTCGCTGAATTGCAGTGCAGAAACTCCGGCAAACTATCAAACAGTGAGAGAACGTGACAATTTCTACTTTTAAATTTTCTGAAGTATGCTAAATTCAAAGTTGTAGAAATGGTCCTCAGACTCGCAGTTTGTGGAGTCAGCTAGCGTGCTGAGTAGTTTTGCTGTGCTGGTGTGAGTTCGAAGATGGTGGAGTGAACAGTTTATAGCGAGTGCCGATAAGCGCGTGCCGAAACGCCTCTCATACTGGGGTGTAACTAAGGGGAATCGCAAATAAGGTAGACAACAGTGACTCTGAAAGTGGGAATTAAGCTTCTTCAAGTCAAACAAGAGGTTTGAAAATCGCTAACACAACACTGGCAAGGGTCGTGAACAGAGCTGAAGGGCTAATTGCGCATATTGCAGGAGCAGGTGAATAAAATGAGATGCGTGTGTCTGAAATAAAGAAAAACCAAGCCAATAGAGGCAAAGGGACGAGTCCCAGGAAGCAGTCTTGAAGAAGCGGACACGATCGCTGGGACAAGAGCCTTATTAGTCTGATGTTTCGGATTCCTGCTCGGACCCTTCATCAGAGACGAATGGTCGAGCAATCGTCACACCAACATCCAACGCATGTGATGAAATTGCAGCAATTAAAGACGCGAATGTCGACCATTAAGCAGTCATCACACCACTTTCAACGATCCCTGATTAAGGGGGAGCCGTGAACATTCATAGGTATGCGGTAGCATGGCTACTGTATCCTATAAATACTGCAGCTCCTTGTGCATGAACCACTCGTATCTGCTTTCGTCTCAGATGATGGGTTCGAGCAGGAATCCGAAACGCCAGGCTACGACAGCTCTTGTCTCAGCGATCGTGTCTCCTACTTCAAAAAAAACCAAGCCGCCAACGTCATCAGTATCAGCACGCTGTCGGCAAGCGTCGAACACTCGACTGGATCTTTAAAATGTCGACCCCCAACCCTGCCCAAAGAGAAATCATTATTGCTCAAAACTCTGCTCGCTTAACTATATTCCATATGCCATAGAGACCACATTATGAAGGAGCCATTGCAATCTGACTGTCAGTCCGCCAGTCAGCCAATTCACACAAACAGACAGTGGACTAATTGCGAGGTCTAAATTATCCCGTCGGTTGGAAATCTTTCAAACCACTGTACTCAGCTCACGGTGATAGCTTCAAGTGTGTCAGATTGTTTATAGTGAGGCCGAGCTCACTCTCAATTCCTCCTCCGAGACCCCAGCCGCTGTCCAGGCTGGTCAGTTGCCAGGTGTCTGAAATACACGAAATGTAGAAATACTGCTCTAAACATCGCCCCTCCAATACTTATAGCGGTAGCATTTAGACGAATGGAGCGTCGTGGCCGGTTATCACTTTGTTCACATGCGCTTTTCGCGTTCCCGCGCTCGTCAGAACCAGCATGCGCCTCAGCTCATTTGGCTGATTATGTGAACGCCTAGAACTCTTGTGGACGATTTGTTTTCATGATTATCTAAAAATCAAATAAACGAATTCCACCCACCGGTCTCACGCCTGTTTTCCTGACTGACAAGCTGATTTCCTCATTAATCGTCTGTTCGAATGTCCCATCCGTCCGGCCTAGTTAGATGCCTCTGACTGCAAATCTGACTGATTTACTTGGTAACATGATTGACCGCGTAATGCGAGGGAAATAAGAAAAATCCAGATTCCCGTAAGATGGCCAAATACATTAATAAATGTAGGAGCCGACAAATATCTAGAAATAATTAAGGAACAGAAAGTTCAATGACTGTATTTCCACTGCCAGACCCCAGCCACTATCCGAGTCGGTCAGTTGTCTAGTGCGGGGAGTGGGCGCAGTATATTGACATATCTACTGACCTCGTCTGCGCGTCCTAGGCACACGACCTGCCCCCCTACCCCAGAAACAGGCACAAGGATTTCACAAAAAATGGACACGGCCGTCACCATACGCTCACACGCGCTGCATACTCAGGCTACACAGTAGTTCGACTGCCGTTACTGACGATGTTCGGAGACGTGACTCGCGTGTAAATTATATCATTGCTCAAAACTCTGCTCATATAACCATATTCCAGTTAAAATTTGACCTGATCAGGCATCTTCTTATTCATTTCAACGGAAAAAAATTACAGGGCGCAATGGAAACTAGTCACTATAAGCAGTCTAAGGAGAGTGCTAATGCATCCAAACTACGGACGCAAATTGCAGTCAAATCCTGGTCTAAACGGTTGTCTACAAATCCATGCCCGGAACACTGGGAATCGGCCGCCACACATTTTTCCCATGCGAATACCATGCCGGAGACCTAGCTGCCGCATGGACCCACCGAATTTACGCAAGCACAAAAACCTTCCATAAGGAGTTCAAAGCAGACCTTCTTAAATCGTATCTATCTCGGCATGAGACGATGTTCACAATGGTCTTCACAACACGGTGGCTTGTTACGTTCAAGGAGACAGTAACTGGCGGAGTATCTATCGCACTCTCTAGTCCGGCGTCAAAACAAGATCAAGAAGACCGGATTTTTTTAGGGGCGGGGGGCACGGGAACTGACGCAGACGCAGCCGCCCCTAGGTATGTCACTACAAAGGGCCCTGGTCCGTCATAGTAAGAGTTCCATAGAGGCCACATAACGAAGGAGCCATTGCACTCTGGCTCTCAGTTCGACAATTCACACAAACACACTGATTACGAGGTCTCACTTATCCCGTCAGTTGGAGATCTTGCAAACCACAGCTTGTAGCTCACCGTGAAAGCTTCAAGTGCGTCAGGTTATTTATAGTGAGGAAAATGCGCTGACACGTCGACCTCACTCTCAATTCCCACACCCAGACCTCAGCCACTGTCCGGGCTGGTAGGTTGTCTGGTGCCGAAAATGTGCTAAATGCAGAAATACTGCTCTTAACGCCGCCCCTCCAATACTCATAGCAGCAGCATTCAGACCAGTGGAACGTCCTGGCTGGCTGTCATCCCGTTTACATGCACTCTACGCGTTCCCGCGCTCGTCAGAGCCAGCATGCGTCCCAGCTCATTCGGCTGATTATTTGAACGACTTCGACTCTTGTGAACGATTTGTTTTTATGATTATCTAAAAATCAAATTAACAACCCCCCCCCTCCACCGGTCTCACGCCTGTTTTCCTGAGTGACAAACTGATTTTCTCATTAATCCTCTATTCGAATGTCACAATCATCCAGCCTGGTTTCCTGACTTTGATTGCGAATCTGACTGATTTCATTAGTAACATGATTGACCGCACAGTCCGAGGAAAATAAGAAAAAACAAGATTCCCATAAGATGACCAAATACATTATTAAAAAGGGAACACGATAGATTTCTAAAATTAAATAAGCAACAGAAAGTTCAATGACTGTATTCCCACTCCCAGACCCTAGCCAGTATCCGAACAGGTCAGTTGTTTGGCGCCGGAAGTGGGCGCAGTTTATTGAAATAACTACTGACCTCGTCTGCGTTTGCTAGGCACACGACCTGTCCCGACCATCCCCCCGGAACCACAAACACACGGATTTTACACAAAAGGGAGATAGCCGTCTCCATACACTCCCACATGCAGCATACTCAGCCTACACAGTAGTTCGACCGTCGTTACAGATGACGTTCATGTGAGAATGGGCTCGGAGACGTGATTTGAGTGTGAATTGGTTTACGATGATAGCGCATTTTCGAAGCATCCAAATGGATTAAAACTCACAACAACAAACCGGAGAACAGAGCGCGTGAGGCCCGTTATCTCCACGACCAGTTTGTACAAAATGGCAACCCGAGGGCATTCATCAGTCGCTGCCTACGCGGTCGCCACCAAAGGACTCGAACATCAACATCACCGACGATATGGCATTCTCTGCCATACATCAAGGGCGTTTCAGAAGCAGTCAATCGCATTGCTGCCGAGCTAGGTGTTGGACTTGTACACCGCCCCAAAGCCACCATGCGCACTAAGGACATGAACATCGAAGACCGTTTAAAGCCTGAAGAGCAATCCGGAGTGGTGTATCGCATCCCGTGTCAAAAATGTTCTTGTAACTACGCAGGCCAGACTTGACGTATACTCGGATCGAACATACACGAACATAAGCTGACTTTGCGACGAAGCGACGCATTATCACAAGTGGCCGCCTACACCTACGAAATGGGTCACGAGTTTAACTTCGCAGACGCCAAAATAGGCGCCCACGCCGGAAACAAGACAGACCGAGGTTTGATTAAAGCCTGCTTTCCAAGGTCGAGCGTGATGCACTTAAAGAACTCAGGGCCGACAACGACCTCGTTATCGTGCCTGCGGACAAGGGGCGTTCAACGGTCGTATTGGACAGGACAGACTACAATCAAAGAGCCAAAAGCTTGTTGGATGATTGTCAGTCCTATGTGCCATGCGAATCCAACCCCATGAAAACGCTGACACGCGAGATTAACGCGACGCTGTTGGCAATGGAGAACTCAGGTGCAATATCGCCAATCGACCGACGCATGGCGAGAGCACAAGAAACGGCCCTAGCCCGATTCTACGGTCTCCCAAAAGTGCACAAAGAGGGCGCTCCTCTCCGGCCTATCGTGTCACTAAAGGGCCCTCCAACCTACGGACTCGCAAAGTGGCTGTTCCAACGCCTCAAGTTTCTGACCTCCGATTCGAACACCACAGTCAGCTCGTCAACGCAATTCTTGGAGAAACTTAAAGGAGTAAGTCTCCTGCCAAGTGATATCATGGTTTCCTTTGATGTCACGTCCCTTTTTACTTCTATCCCGCAGGACCTGGCAGTCGAGACAATCGAACTACTCCTACGAGAGAAGTACGACGAAACGGAGAATCGCCTCGGACACGCCCAAATCATCCAGCTCCTGAAGTTCTGTCTCAAGACGTACTTTACATTCGACGGAACAATCTACGAGCAGGTGAAGGGAACGCCAATGGGTTCGCCGATTTCGGGACTCATAGCCGAGGCGGTCCTTCAACGGCTGGAGTCGCTGGTTTTCCGACACCACAGACCGAAATTCTGGGCTCGGTATGTGGATGACACCTTCGTCGTCATCGAACGGGATCAGGTGCTGACTCAACTCAACGCCGTCTTCCCGGACATTCAATTTACGATGGAGGAGGAGGAAAACAATCAGCTGGCCTTCCTGGATGTCCTCGTCTGCCGCAAAGATTGTGGTGGCCTAAAAACCAAAGTGTTCAGGAAAGCGACAAATACGACGCAAATACTGAACTTCAATAGCGACCACCCGATCAGTCACAAACGCAGTTGCGTAAGGGCGCTATACCGGCGTGTTGAGACGCACTGCAGTGAAATGGAAGACAAGGTTGCTGAATTACAATATCTTCGACGGGTAATGAGAGCCAATGGCTACCCGCGCAACTTTGTCAACCAATGCATACGAAAAGGACACCAGAGACCAAATCCAACTAGCCCCAAATTTTGGCGGGCTCTTCCGTACGTGAAGAACGTCTCGGAAGCCGTCAGTCGTCTTCTCACTCCACTTGGAGTTGGTGTTGCACACAGGCCGGAAGCAACCATTAGGCGCCAAGTAATGAGGCCAAAAGACCCGCTGCCACGGCAGGAAACGTCTGGAGTCGTTTACCGGATCTGGTGTAGTTGCGGACAAAGCAATTATGTCGGAGAAACTGGGAGATTACTCCGTACGCGACTTGCCGAGCACGCAGCAGCAGTGAGGCGGGGAGACGCTAACTCTCAGGTGGCGGCACACTCGACGGGACCCGGCCATAATTTCAAATTTCAAGAGGCCGAAGTCCTCGCAAGGGGTGACAACCGCGTGAGCCGCGAGCTGCTCGAGTCATGGTTCTCAGGCCCGCAATCCATCAACAAACACAATGACCTCCCGGTGGCCTATTCCGTATTGCGATTTTCCCTGGGCAGGAGAATCAGTCACGTGGGGAGGGCGCGGGTGAGCAATTATCACGGTGACAGTGAGCCAGTTTGCCGAGCAATCGTCACACCAGCATCGAGCACGGATGACGAAATCGCGGCAATTAACAACTCGGACTCGGACCGCCAAGCCACCGCCGCATCAATTACGACCCCAGCGGCGATTGTGAGAACTGTTAATTGCAGTGCGCATACGGTCCCACGGCAGCCACGTGCTATAAATACTGCATTCCTGGTGCCACCTTTACCTCTATCTGCGAATGTCTCTGATGATGGGCTCGAGTGAGAACCCGAAACGTCAGGCCAATAAACTTCTTGTCCCAGTGATCGCATCTTCATCTTCAGAACTCAGTCAGTCAATTTATCGATCTGGCTCCGGCGTGCAGAGCCCTGCACAGTCAACTCCAGTCGTGCGCCGCCTGTCGATGATTGGTTTAAATGACCTATAACTGTGGCTTGATCTGTTGCTGCTACTAACTCTGACGATGGACTCCTGCATGAGTCAGAAAGCTCAGGACAATAAACAATATGTTCCTGTGCTCGAAACGTCTTCTTCTTCACTTACTTATCTACCAAACCTCCGGACCTAGTGTTATGAGAGAGTCAAGAAGGCAGAAGATAGAATCGTTTGCAGGTAGCTGGCGCGATGTGGACCTGAGCCTAGGCTACCATTCCCTCAATGTATAACATTTGCGATCGGTACGCTCCAAAAGGTCGTATCCGTAAAAGTGTGTGAGTCTCTTTCATCCCAAAACTGAGCTACTTGGTGACGTTTGGAGTAAGGCTTGAACCAATGGGTAGTTCGATCTGATCTTGACATCCATGCCACGTCAGACATTGGTTTCCACCTAAGTGCCAGTCGTTTATTGATATAGAAGAGAAGGAGGAGACATTGATGCCAATGCCGACGAATTCCTCTACGATAAATCAGCGTATTCTCCAGTGAAATAAACCCAAGGAGCTTTAATCTACCACGAGTTAAACGTCTTGGCTTGAAAGGTTACCGGCTGACGGGAGGACCCAGTTCTCCCTCTGACGGCAATTCAGACCGAAACAGGTGCTTCTTAATGCGGTTGTCATGGAGCTCTCGAGAATGAAAGATCTGAACAGCCCCGCAAAATCTAGTATATGCTTTAAAAACTAGGTTCTGTGTGATACACGAGGGCGGGTTGTTTGGCTTTGTTAGTCACTGTGTCTGAGCTCAACTCCGGCCGTCTTGACGTTGCCTTCCGAGTTAGGTGGGTGAGATAAGTGAGAGTGTGGCAAATACCACGCAAGTCACTAGTGCTCCACTCACTCCGTAGAGCACGTGGTAGACGTCCTGGCTTCTCCTCCCCCTCGATCAAAAATCTTGCACAAGCGCCCAGAAAATTTTGAGTCGCTTTTCCTCTGTAACGGATTCTGCAGCCGCCTGGGATGTATACATAGGTAACGAGATGTTGCGACCTAGCTTCAGTGTAAGACGTTTTGTCCTTTCATCGGCTTAGACGTGAAAATGTGATATTTAAACTACAAATGAAATCACAGTGGCCATCCTCCTGTTTGACAGTAACGATAAAGTCGTGTCAGACGACTGAACATTTGTCCAACGTTCCGCTTGATAGAGACGATCTGGTGTGCTGATTCATTAAATGTTGGTCTATTGTCACGGCTATTTCAGACATTCTCAAATATTACTCTGCAAAGGACTGACGTTCTAGACTCAACTCGGTTAAAAAGTCAACTGAAGTTGAGCTGCCTTCTGTAGTTTTATGGCCAACCACAACCAATTAGCACATCCTTGTCCCTCGGTCTTGGCCATTTACTGTTACACAGACCCATTCTCTTCAGACGCATTGCTGACAACATGCGTCCGATACTTTCCTCTCGACCTTTCTCGGCAAGAGGAATGTTGGATCCGGTATTAAGTTCGAGCCCACTGGAAGGGACGTTGCAAGTCTCCCCTACAAGAGGCTGAGTCGCGCAGACCACTGGCGTATGAGGGACAAATGCTAGAAGAGGCTGTTGATGAAGAATCCATTCTCGCAAGCCCCACTGCGTTACGCACTGCAATAAATCTGGCCCACCTGAGTCTATCATAAGGCGAGGAAATTCGCAGCTTGAAGGACTGCCAACTGATGAAATAACATGGTTCTAATTTAAAGTGAGAGGCAGACCTCGGTGGCTTTTTGATAATGTGACTTTGTTGATACGTCTAACTTCCCTAAAACTCCAGCTCCTACGCGGAAATTGCCAGACTTATGAGTCACCATACTGACGACGGGTATTAGCTTTCAATACTGCCAGTGTGGTGAGTCATTTGGTATTTTTGTACTGCTTTCTGCCTGTTGGATGCATATGAGTACTACGTGGTTATTGAGCAGTTGCTGGTGGATATCAGCTCAAATATGTGTAACAACATGTAGCGCTGTCCTAAAAAGCTTTGCTTTGAATGACTTACTCCAGTTGTGTGGATCAACTTTCGAGGAATCCACCAGATGACTACCAGGCTCACGTAATTTATAGATATTTTGGCAGATTTAAAATAATTCAATTTGATACGACTGTGAAAACTCAGTGCCTCAGTGAGATTCGAACACTCGACAGCAAGGGAAGGCTTTCCTACAGCCAACGCTCTAACCATCTGAGCTATGAGGCCTTACCGGACGACGTGAGCCTGATAGTCATCTGGTGGATTCTAGGTGAATTACTTTGAAAACTGCCAAAACACCTGTGTTATCTTTATATGCGCATATTCCTGGACAATAAAGTGTTAGCAAGTGAGATTCCGTTGCTGGATAACCAGCTTAAGGCAGTAAAGCGCTAACAAGAACTGTTTTGCATGCCCTTATCAATAACCAAACTTTTAGGTAAGTGTCCCAATCTTACATGCTCAGGCCAGATCTCATGTGAAAATTCCAAACTGTCCTGTCATTTTGGTGCTTCCATACCTAGCATAGTGTTTCATTACTTTGTTTGTCCCTGATGAATTTTTTTCTGCATCCAAGAATAAACAGTCATCAAACTGCGCCCTGGCGTTCGACCATTTTTTATGAACAAATAAAATGCCTGTTGATCGAGTTTGCTCGTTCACTTTCTTCAACATCTACGCTTTCACTCAATATTGGCTGTTGAATTTGCTGGTTTGCTTTCCGCTTCGAAAACCACATTTAGTAATAAGTGACTGCTGATGTAGATTGATGTTCTACTGATTTTGACGTCCTTGGAAGGTCAAGCATACTTTTTAAATACGTTGTCAAAATATGTCTTTCTTTATCCATTTAACATAATATAACGTCGATAGCAAAGTGTACCCACAAAGAAAAGTAACGTTTAAATTGCAAAACAATTTTTGATTTACCGATTATTCTGGGCCTATCTGCCGTTGCATTTGTTTTTAGAGTTTATAGTTTAAAAACCCTATGCGTTTCATGTAAGGAAATTGGGTATTTTCCTACTTCATTGAGAAGGAGCAAAAGGACTCATAAAAGTCTACGATGCATGTGGACTATGTTGCATATTCCACGATAAACGCTAATAAACGGACAAATAAGACGCTGATGAAGTGAGCATTCCACGGCCTTTAAAAACCACATAATAACAAACCGTTTTTGACCAAAATACACTCTCGTCAGATTTAAAATGTCGAAGATATAATTAACTACTATTCGAGTACAAGAAATGATATTCTGACTGTGCTGTTGAAAAATATGTTTGAACTCTTAAAGATATCGAAAGTCAGTGAACAAATATGTACTATTCAGTGATTATTTTTTATCAGACATGTTCTTGCAAGCGGCCAATCAGAAATGCATTTAGGCATTTGCGCCAAGACTTAACTGGTTTATTGCGGATTTATGCTACATGATAATCAGTAACACAACCCCACGTGCGTTACATTCCAACCAAAAAGACACATCATAATTTGGTCAACATTTCATGAGATCAGTTAGTAACTGGTCACGCTTAGAACGTACGAACGTCGACTATAATTTTTCATTAGCTGAAATCTGGAAAGCGGAACAACAGCCGAACCAGTAATAAACAAAACGAGAATAAATGTTGATGGTTGTTGGTTATGTGTGCTTTCATTTCCCATGGTTTTGTTGACTCTGCGAGTAACTATCGGAACCATTTCACAATTAATGGTCATGTTAGATTTGGTCATTTCCTAAATTCAGAGCAAGCCTAATCCACTGAGCATCGCCTAATGAGGAAACTGCTTCCTTCGAACAAAAAACACTGCATATTTGTTTCGTCTCGCTCAAGTGCGAAAACAATGCCCTTAATTTGTGAAACCGGAAAGCAACCTAAAAATTTACTTACCCCTTATTGGGGTTAATACTGTTAATCTAACCTGCTTCGGTAATTGTGAGAGGTGGTTCCTATCCCAAGGTCTGGAAATTATAAGCAGCAGTAACAATCGGGCAGTTCAATGTTGCATAAGTGGGCATTTTATGGTTCTAAAATTTTTATATTTTCTGACTTGTAACACAAAAACTACAGTTGGAGGTACGACTTTCACCTATAGGAATACAAAAAATTTTCTGTACACCGTTTTAAGAAGTATATATGGATTTATAAGAGTACTATTACTAAGTGAAACACAATTTCTACTTCTTAATTAGTAATCTTAACTGAGGAAGTTTTTTGCCGGTTTACAGAATCTGACTCAATATTTGGAAACTACGTTTTACGATAATAACTATGACAACTCTCCTGAAATTGCCCCGCCTAATCGGAAATATATTTGAGTGTCGGTTAAGCTTTGTCAGAAAGGCTAGACAATGCGCGTAGATGCCAATTCTAGTTAGCCTGTAAGGTAAATCTGACATTGGATATTTTAATTTCTCCTTTTAGTCGGAAGTTGTCTGAGGTTAAGTATGCAGTCAGTGAGCGGTCTCCAGAAATGTTAACAGAAATTCGGAAATGTGTCATTGTTTGGGAAGGATTAATTTAGTGGGATTTCCATGCTGATAATAATGCGACGTAACCTCATCATGCGTCACACACGACAGAACAGTGGCTTTTCAGCGCACTCTTTGTTATGCGTCTGTAAGCATCGCTTTCGCTAAAATGACCACCATTTTAGTAGTACTTTATGCAATATCCTCTGACGATCCATTAATGTATGTAGAAATATTGTTTATATTCATTTGATATTAAATAATTTTCTGGTAAAATTAAGGTCCAAACTAAGGCTATCTATCGAGTTCCACAGTTTCAATAATGCCTTTTTCAAGAATTCGTAATGCTTATGTAAAAACATTGCATCTATCTGCTTAAGAATGCTCCAGCAGTGGCCACCAATGACGCCAAATGAGTAAAAAAGATCAGCTCCTTTTGGTGAACATGGTAAGCAGAATTTATGTTTTTGTAGGCAGGGAAACAAAGACGAGAAAAGAAATAAATTTACTGACCGAATAGGCGCAGTTTGATCTCCTTGCTACGAACGAAGCTCATGGGCATCCTGCCAGTCTTTGGATCCGCCCCTGTCGCTGGTGCCTTCAGTCTATGCTGTCCAACCATCCCGGCAGTCATGGTTATTCCTCCTTTATTGTGAATAAGTGGCTGCGCCTGAGGGTTGCTGTGCTCGTTCAGAATTTGCGCCTGACATGCGTAGTCGCCCTCGTCGTCCTTCTGTAGGCTCTGGATTCGCAAGTCGTAGACGCCTTATGTTGCATCGAGGGCAGACAGTTAGAAAATCGCTTTTCAATTACTAATTTTGGCCGATTTTTCAAAAGCATAAATGAACACTTTCTGTGCTTTCTTCTGGCATGCTAATGTCTAGATGTACTCAAAGTTAGTAGTCAGATTTTTCGGTTGGTTACTAATGCATCCTGCGGTTTTTTCGAAAAACCCGCATGACACAATAGTGTTAAGATGAATTTAGTCGAATAAAATGTTTGCAGTATTGATATTGTCAGTAAGCTGCAAACGTAAAAACATTTCCAGAACTCCAATGACTCCCGAAGGAAGAATTTATTCGAGGTGGTAAAACTATCAAAGTATACAAAGTTTCGACTTTCTAAACAACTAATACATTCGACCTGGCTTGAAACTTGATCCCCTGTCGCCACTGCGCAATGAAACATGAGTGCAGGTATAAGCATGCAAATGATTTTGCAGATTGTGTTACAGGAAAAGTCTCGCTGACACGATCACTGTAGGACACGGTAAATAAGCACAGCCTGGAATGCCTGTTCATATCGAAATTTTGGAAGAGCTAGCAGCAGAGGTAACGAAACTATCAGCGGGGTTCATCCAGCTGAGTGAAGAGCAATTTCGGGTCCAAATTCTTGATTAGTTGCTGATTTGAACACGTCGCTTGGCCTACATCTCTTTCGATTTTAGTATAAATTGAACCGACAAAAGTCAGAGGATTAGGTGGAACTTACGCACATCCGCACTTAAGACTTTGTTCAGACCAGCCGACACAGTGTTAAAGAATTCAAAATGAACATTATGAACTTCATAGAAGTGAATAGGGCATTTTCAAACGGCAGTTAAGAACAAAAGACGATTGCCGGAAAGCGAATTTCACCGACAGGAAGTTTTTAGATTCTTGCCCAGACCCGTCGTCAGGAGGGCTGGGCATATTGGTGATGGGGGCGCACGAAACGCAATATTTGTAGGACGAAAATACCATCCAACCCTATGCCTGGCATAACTAGCAGCTCTCGCGTTTATCGCTGGGGGTTAAATTTCATGCGACGATTCCCTGTTAAGCCAGTAAACAAGCTTACACGATGGCTTTCTTGATCTGTTTGTGAATATCTGAACCTATCATGCTGGTCGACTGAGTCACTTAAATCAATTTAGTGTTTACTGTCAAGGGGCAGCCTTCGTGACACTGCTTACTTCAGACATGACGGTAGAGCTCTGGATATGAACGGCAACACTCGGCACTTCGACTGTCGTTGCCGGAAATGTTCACCGTGTGCTCCACAGAAAGGTGAAGCAGGCACGGTGACTTGCGCGTGAATAAGTTTATGGTGATAGTAGACTTGCTTAGCATCTACCGCACTCTATCTTTCCCATTACCCACCTGGACCAGGCGTCAAGACAGAGTTAACAAGACCGAAGGCGGGGAGGGCGCAGGTGGCTGGCACGGCCGGACGCGCACCCACTGGTCCACAACATACAGTTGATCAGGATTTTTCACCAAAAACAATAACACCCAACGGATGTCAGAAGGACGATGATGATGACTTAGCAGTCATTCCCACTACCAATGTGGTCGCAAGCGTATTTATACGCAGGGAACCAGGTTTCAGGGAACTGCCTGCGCATACGAGACTGTGAGGGCCATGGTTTGCTGATGCTGGCATAGCACACGATTTCAGAACTTTGACCACAACAGAAGTCAACTGTCACTTGGAATAGCACTCTTCTTTAGGAAACTCTCTCTTACAGTGGTTATAGCGTATCTCAGCAGGGAAATCTAAGTAATCAAGTTACGTTCTGGATGCTGACAAAGACGCTACGAAAGCCACTTCTTTGCATATTTAAGTACGATGTATCAAAAAATGTACGGCTATGTCGTCACCCTCTGGGACCATTATGGCCCCCCCTGTCTTGACCTAGCCCGGGCTGGCAGACAGCAGATTGCTCATAAACTAGGCCCTCCAGGTGAAGTTCATTGGCTTCTGGGACCCCCTGGATCGGTGTGCGCCCACTCCTGTAGCGACGAGATTGCCAGATGATGAGACGACGATGAGGATAGGTTTGATAAAGTGGACCATCTATGCTGCATGTATGCACTTTTTGGTACTCTGGTTCTAAATGGTGGTGTCTAGAAATATGATTGACCGTATGAAGGCTGAAAAATCTCAGAGCAGTTTTGTATCAGTCAAAATATACGTCTGTCAATACCAACCTTAATAGGCAGATGTGTTTACTGGGAAACAAGATTATACCCATCTTACGCTGGTTGACAAAAAATGAAGTTTTCGCAGCACAAATGTCAATGACTCCGCTTAAGTCATTACTGATCTCCTCGGCATGAATCTCGTATCACAACATATCCTACTTACCCCAAAAACCCTGCCACATTTGTAGGCATCTTGCCAAGCGGAAGCAATATTTGCCAGATAAATCTTTGTAACAAAATGAAACATGATTCGTTACATGCTCAACAGCGTCCAGTGCAAACGCTCAGTGAATAGACTAGAAGGCGGGTCTGCCCGCCATAGAGGGTTTTTTAGACTAAGCAGGGAGATGTATTCAACATTCAGAAGTGTGTATCATTAAAGCGAAAATCCTGCTCCTGTTCCATGTGATCCAGCAGACGAACTATCTATCCCTTGATTGAATCCAATTCTGACGCCTGTGTATCCTCTATCCAACCCGGGACATGATTACCGTTATTAGTCCCCTTTTTTATGCGGTGGATGAGAGCAGTTTGCCCCTGCAGCTTGCTTTGATACGAATGCATGCTGACGGCAGCAGAGGCGTTCGCCACTCGTTTAGATGATCCCAACACTCTTCTCTTAAAAGCTCTTATCGCGGCAGAAACAGGTGAAGTGTGATCCTTCACTTGACGCAGCAGTGAAACTGATTGACAGCAGCCCCAAGACAGCTGATTTGTTCGTCCTCCGGCCTGCTCCTTCTCCACTGTTCATTTCAGCCCCTCCTATCCACACCTCCGCCACCCCCATCTCACACACCATCCATCTCTCTCCTTCCTCGCTGACCTCCCGCCACCAGCATACGTGTCTCATTTACATATACGACACTTCTATCAATAACTGGTCTTCTTCGGGAACTTGTTCAGTTTTAAGGAAGACTTTTCTTCGTATTTGCCTGAATGTGCAGTCCCTCTTATAATTAAAAAGCCCGTCAATATGCTGTCGTTGATGATGCAATTAAAAAGGTTTCTAGGTTGGAAGAACTGCTCTTCAAATAAAAGGAGATCGAAGGTCTCACATTAGAAACTATTGCCTGTGTTTTTTATATGTATATGCAGTCATGCAACCTGTTCTCTGGCCAATTCTTAGATTTATTAAATTGCTCAAAACTGCCGCTGGGACGGGAACATTTGCGCAACTGGCACAGACTCTTCCCAAAATCGATGTACGATGTTAAACAAACCGACTCAATTAACCCTCTTCTGGGTACTCGGATTCCAATTCCATCAATAGGCAACAAGACCTTCCTGCGGCCTCTAAAGTCCTACGTCCATACCCATGCCATGACCAGGACAAGGATTACTTGCAACAAATAATGTGCTGCTGCAATGAATTACTATGCCATCCAGGCTGTGGCTATGGCGGATCGGTTTTATGGACAATAATAGGTATAAATAATGAAGCACAACGAAGGAAATCCCAACAATCGGTACAGACCTCTCTGAACACCGTAGATCCCAAATCTTAATGCAGTGTCTTAGGTAAATTAAACCGTCTCGGGTAAAATATGAACCCGACTCATTTGTCGGACCGCCGTGATTCATGGGCAAAAGTTAGAAAGCCAATACAGCATAAGAAGAAAAACTGACCAGCCCAAGGTCAACTTATTCGGCCGTTTGTTTGAAATTCTGGTCATTTATTGCACAAAACGCTCTCCTAATGGGCAACCGGCCAAGAACCCCAAAACGTCAACCATGCAATTCCCCTGATCCGATGAACCCCACACATTTCTCCGATTATCGGCCCGAGTCTTTCACGTCTGCTAACCTGAATTAAAATTAGTTTACCTGAGATGAACTGGACATCTGACATGCACAGTCATAGTTTCAGGAAATAGCTATCAATGATACTGAGAGAATTAATGCGCTCTGAAGCTCAAACGTTTGAGGAATGTATTTGCGTCATTTTATAAGCCGTGGACTATACCGTTATACGAAATGCTACTTTTACTGATTTACCTTATTTTCCTTAAGCAATTCAAATCCTCTATTCTTTCCATTTATGCAAAAGCATGACTTGAACCAAAAATGTGTTGCTTCAATGAATCACTAGGCCATTCAGGCTATGGCTATGGAGAAACAACTTAATGCACAATCAACGAAATCCCAATGATCAGTATAGACTATCGTGAACATCGTGGATCACAACTGCCAAAGCAGTGCCCTGAGTAAGTTCAACATACTCAGGCTAAAGTGCGTCCGACTCATTTATCAGCAAGAAGATTGAGATATGGACTTAAAACTGACGATTGTTACTTTCCGGCAATTTGTTATGTTACTAACTGTATTACACCGTGTTCGATCACTTCTGCTTGGTTTAACCGTAGAGAGCATTATTCTAAAGGGGACGGATCCATCAAAACAACTTGATGCTTCTGCCCGGATAAATCAGATGAAGCAGCATACGAAAAATCGCACTATTTCCTGAAAACAAGACGCTTCTCCTATTTCAAATGCTCGATTTATTAATCTGTGCAATGTTTTGAACTTAAAGGCCGAATTAACGCCAACAGAGGATCCCTTATATTAGCAGGTCGGGACATCCGATGTGGTAGGTAGACCCTAGTCACTTCGAACTTCAATCCGGTCTCTAAAAGAAATAGACGAGTTAGGAGACCAGTGGATAGGCCATTGTATTCGGCCAGAATGACTTAAAAGCAGGTTAAAACCACGGTGGACGGACGCTCACCGATCGTCCTCACTCGTTCCGTTGTGCCTTACGGACTCTCTCTGGAGCCCAACCATCAGTCGCACAGCGGTGCATGATATTGGCAGTATGCCATTACCGACAAAGACAAAGGAGACTGGAATAGTCATTTCTGGCTTATGATCTGTCGTCAGGACAACGGGCCCGTGGCTCAGTAGTTTGAGGCACTGAACTTCTAACTTACAGTTCGCGAGTTCGAGGCCCCAGGTGTTTCACACTTCGGGATTGGATATGACTGGCTGACGACGGCTGATAAGCCAGAAATGGCCATTCCAGTCTCCCTTGTCTTTGTCCATAATAACACACTGCCTACTGGTTAAAACAAGTTGGCAGCCGAACTAAAGGCGGGGTACAGCACCGCGAGTGCAAGAGGCCTTAGTAGGGCATGCGTCATGGCGCCTTGACAGAGGTTTCAGAGTCGGTCCTGGAGTTTATTGGTCGATCAGGATAGTTTCTATTGGCCGAGAACTATGCTGTCACTAATACGTGCGTAATGCGCAGCGTTCCAAGTGGAGCCTGGAATAAGACATCTAAGCACACTTAATTTTGAGGCATGTAGGAATGTTTGACAAGCGACCACGAAAAACCCCAGCAACCCGTATCTACTTTGACATTTGTACAGCTAACAAAGTAATTTGTGTGCGGCCTCGTTCCTGTTAATGTCTAATTTCAGGACGGCAGCGACACTTTGCTCTTCCCCTTGCCATGTTTTTATAGTCATCAAACGAACTCTAAAAGTAAGCAAAGTAAGATGAAAGAGCATAAAGGAACTCAATCTCGTTTAGCGTACCCTTCGACTATTCATCAGCTCTCCTTTAATATACACAAGCTAAGCTAAATCAGCTGTATTAAAAGCAGCCAATGTGGATGAACTAATCAATGAATAACCGAACACGTACACATGACGAGCTAGGGCGTTTCAATGTTAACTTAGTTGTCGTTGGAGGAAATGACATGCGGGTTTGGAACAAAAGTATTGTGTGTGGTCATGTGAGTAGGTAAAAAGTTTTAGTTTTTGTCTTCCTTTTATTCAATGAAAAAAGGAAGAACGAACCCATTCATATACAAAACACCTCCCAAAGCAAATCTTCATCATGCCACAACTCATCATGTGAGCGTTAGAAAAACCCAACAACAAAAATATTTTTTTCCAGAACTGTCTCAGTTTTGTAGTTGTGTTAATCAAAAACGACACGAGTTACTCAAATGGGCAATTAGCTGAGAATACTTAACACCGTAGGCGACATCGCGCACTGCGACACCCTTAGGCTACAAGTATGCTTATGATCCCACTGGCTAATTATGTTGCGTCGGCTCTGCCTAGTCGGAAAGCTTTATGTACGAGTAAAACTCCCTCATCTTTCAAGGCGGCACTAGTGTATTCATGAGAAAGATTCCGTTCGTTGGTCACGCGTTCCTTCGGAACGCATGACCTAGACTCTGGGGCACACCCTGCTACGATATGTTGCTTACAATCTATGGACGGGTTCATTTATGCTCCGTCTGCGACTATTATTCAGTCACTGATTGTCTCCCTCCAACATGCGATTTTGTAGAACTTTCTGACGCTAAGATGTCTTTATTCAAAACTTCGAACAGTAGAATCCTCATCCTGGCCGAATATTTATCCGACTACGCAAAACTGAAGCTCTTAATCTCGATCGTTTTTGTCCAGCATCACGGTGTCGACTGGAACTACGCTGTATATTTTACTTAATCTTCGGCAATATCTATTGCACTACTTATTTTAAACATTTTTCCATACTTTTCGCATTTTTCACAAAAAACATTACTTTAAACGCCATTGGCGTTTTTGTCCGGTAGGTTTTGGTAACTTTTCAATTTAGCAGTTTCTTTCACGAATAAACACAAGTTTACCGAGTAACGTCAGGTGCTGTTAGAAACCTATAGGAGCGCTTCTGGTATGGCCAGGCCGGTCTAATGGTCACATCAATCACGAATTTTTCCCTCAAACGAGTCGTAAATCTGACTCATTTCCGTATCAAGATACGATCACTAAGGTAAGAAATTTGCTGGCCTGACGCTTCGGATTCCCACTCAAGCCCGTCATCAGTGGCAGTCGCTGATAACGGTACTGGAGACCCAGAGGCGCAGTATTTATGGTACGCAGTTGACGCGGAACGATATAGGTAAAGGTTGATGGCCAGTCTATCAGATGAGGATGGTTGGTACGTACTGTACAACGTAAATACAGTTGTCTAAGGAAGCACCGTGGTTAACCTCATCCGTTATTAAGTTTACACTCTTCACTTTATTCATATCAGTATTTAAGTACAAATTGCAATCTTCGTGGTGTCAAAGGTTAATTCTTGAAAATAGATGTCCAATCGGCTTAAAATACTAATATCAAACGCCAAAGGCGAATAACTGTAATAGGTGCCCTGAAAATGGGACTACAAAGTATTTTCGAGTTGCGAAAATCCCCATTAAAAATTTTAAAAGGCAATTTGGCGAGCATACGTCTGTTTCCTATAAATTGACTTCAAGCTTGCGCATTTATATAACTATTAAAATAATTAATTAAAATATACGCGCAAGTAGCTAATTATGCAGTAGCTCGGGTTTGGTGGGGGGAGGGGGGGTAGAGTAAAACACCGCAATTCCAGTCAGCGTCAGGGAGAAGATGGGTCCTGGGAAGGGTAATTATTTGCGGGTGGCTGGCCTGGTAGCTTTGAACCATGGCAACTATGGGACCTGTATGAAGTTCTACGCGCATACGATTAGTAAGCGTAGCTTGATTGCAGCCGCCCCTGCCGTAGCCAACAGGCGCTGCCCCAGCAGCTTTGGATAGCTTTACGGGACCTTGTAAACCACCCTGAAGGCCTCTTTGGCGTCTGCACGGTGGTCTGTATCAACCATGTGCGCGACCATAGTGCTGTTAATGTTCTTTGTTTGACCCTCTTCTTACCATGCCGGAAGATGTTCCTTTAGGCTTCTGGACAAATACCGGCTTGTACCACCACTATATTCTACCCACAGGGGCAGGTGAAGGAGCAAATAAATACGGAGGTGGTCTGCACTGGTAGTTTGTCCTTGTCCTCTCGTATAGAATGAGACTGGGTGGAGAACAGTACACGGGTGTCAGCTGCTGAAAAGGTTCGTACTACAACATAAGTTAGGCGTCTGCTCAAAAGTCCACTTGGCTCGTCCCTTTGAAATGCGATACTGACGAAGAGATTTTTTCAGCCGTCAGCATTGGGTGCTTTGGTGGTCTCTCGGCCATCTTCTTAGCAATGAATCTATTAGGATACCCGTTCTGGCGAAAACGGCTTTTGATTATCTTAAGCTCTTTCTCAATGCTATCAGCTGAGCAGAAGTCACCATGCGCAGCAGGGTCATGAAAATCAAAGACCGGTTAAAACCTAAAGGACAATCTGGAGTAGTGTATCGCATCCCGTGTCAAAATTGTCCTTGTAACTACACAGGACAGACTGGACTCATACTCGGATCGCGCATACACGAGCATAAGCTGGCTGTGCGACGAGGCGACGCATTATCACAAGTGGCCGCCCACACCTACGAAATGTGTCACGAGTTTGAGTTCGCAGCCACCAAAATAGTCCCCACGCCGGAAACAAAACAGGCCGAGAATTGATTGAAGCCTGGGCCTCGGATGAGAACTCGGTCAATCGATTTATCGATCTGGCGCCGGCGTACAGAGCCCTTCGTAGTCACCTCCAGTCGTGCGGCGTCGGTCGATGATTGGGCCTACGTGCCTTATAACTGCCGCTTGTCCTGTTTCTGCCACTACCTCTGACGATGGACTCCTGTACGAGTCTGAAAGCTCAGGATAATAAACGAAGTGTTCCGTTGCTCGACTCTTCTTCTTCACTTATGAGCAGAAGCTTCCCACCCTTTCTGCTCAACAGCAGACTAAATTTCGTTTAACGTTTAGCGGTACGAAATTGGCACAATGGGACCACGTTTTCTTACGATATACGCTACGTCGAATGTTGCCGTTAGGCCTTCTACTCAGAGGCACATCCAGAAAGGGAGCTGAACCGGAGTCTTCTTCTTCTTCAAGAGTGAATTTGATAGATGGGTGCGCCTGATTTATATCATCCAGTAGAATTGAGATGCCACTTTGTCCCCCAGCAAGTGCGAATATATCATCCATGTACCTCCCATAGTATCTCATGCCCTTGATCTTATGACGTAGCTGGAAAGCTTCTAGCTTACTTATGAATACATTACCCAAAAGCGGGCCAAGCGGCGAGCCCATGGCTACGCCGTCCATCTGTCTACAGAGATTGTCGTCAAATAGGAACCACCTTCTATGAATAATTTTAAGAAGGACTGTGGGCATTGACAGTGTAGTAAGTGTCTATGAAATGCCATGCTTTGTGGCAAACTACTTATAAGTGTTTATTGCTAAGCTATTTCATCGGGCGAATTTCCTCCCTCAACACTGTTGATAGGACACGTCGTTTTTACTTGTTTAGACTTGATCTTCAAAATACAGTGTTATGCGTAAGGGGCATACCAGCGCTCTGGTTGGCGATCAGTCTATATCGACTGCCGAAGCTTGCCTCGAGGACATCGCGTGAAAAACCGAAGCCGTCTTTGATCCACTGAATGTCAACCCTCGGCGTTGAGTCTGTCCACCGTTGGCCCAACATGTTTCTCCACTGTAGACGACACCGAAGGACTGTGTCGCTACCCAGTCGGGCATTGGTATCCTCCGGTCCTTCCATAGTCAAATAGGGCACCTTATCCGGTTTATGGTCACTGCGCCCTTCCAGAAGGAGTGTCGCGAAAACTGTGGAAATTATAATCAGAAAGTTTTCAGCCGACAAGCAGAGAAAGAGTTTACAAACCTCACGGTCAAATGGCAAAACGCATCGGCTAGTTGGGAAATAAATGGATCACATGGTAGGACAGAGTAGAGTTAAGGGGCAAAAAGAAGGTAATATAAACTGTACGCTTATGATTCCTGTTCAGGTGACTTTTACTTACCAATCGGCTGTATTAATTATTTTCACTCCCCTGCCCGTTATGGAGGACCGCATTTGTCGCTAAGAACAATCCTCTTTTTGGTCGTAACTGCAATTTCTCAGCTAAGATTTTATGATAGAAATGTTTGCCACTTCATCAGACTAACAAGGGTCATACTGGAACTTTACGACACCCATATCGGTCATCAGTGTACCTCAATTATTCGATAAGATATTTTATAAGCAAATACTGATATTATTGTCTTTAGGTCCAAAACGTAGTTGATGTACGCCGTCTGATCATTTCCGCTCGTCATATATTTTCACTCTAATTTTCAATCTCATCTGTATCAATGTTATCGAAGCCTACCGGAACCTAGCTCATGCTTCAGTATTTTTTTTCTGATGACCAAGAAATAAGTTACCGGTTTTGGTAAACTAACCGCCAACTAATCGGACCCCGCCTGCATTTTTTCGAGTAGGATAAAAAAACTCGATCCGAAAGACTTTTCACTAACTACCTTTTGATGTTTATACACGCAGCAATTGCCCTCAGGTGCCTGTAAATGGAAATTAAATAGTGCACCGAGCACAAGAGGAATGCAGGGTCTCTTCGTAAAATTAATTTGAAGAGTAGAAATTATCCGCGTTGATAATCTGCTGAGCTAAATCAATGAACTGGAACTCAAATTTTACCAATTAAATAGAACTGTTTCTTATCGCTTAGTGTGGAAAGTCTTTTTAGTAACCTTTATTTATTCTGCCCTGGACGAAACGTGCAAATTAAAATTAGCACATATTTGTTTTGAATATAAGCTCGCATATCGATAGACCTTTTACTTAAACCACTGAGAAAAGACTAATGTGCTAAATTTGGGAAGTCGTGTCCTCATAGGCTTTAGTTGTTGAGACATATATCGAACCACGACCATAGTTCAAAGCCCACTTTATCCAACAAAATCCCAATGGCCTGACAATAAAAGATATTGAGGGAAACTAAGTAGTGTTTAAAAGCAACTTTCTCAAGAGGGCACCCAGGAGTTGTTGTACATGATTGTTGTGACAGTAAAATTCAAATGAATGGAATATAAGAAGTTGCAAATGAACGTCCAAACTAAAATTCGACGCATCATTCTTAACATTAAGATTTTGTGCATTCTTCGGAGGAAACCTGACGAAGAACCAAGTATAAATGAGACACAAGCTGATGATTTAATTTGGTGCCAACGTACATGCCTAAAGGAATTGACTAATTGTTTGGATAAGATGTAAGTCGTTCGCAAAATCTCGTGCGACGCCTTCAGCTTATTACACTGAGATTCGGCTAGATATTCAACGCGGTCAACTAAGAGGCGATACCGCCTGCCTTAATCTGCCCTTTAAATATGTACTATTACTTGCTCCCATTTTATTTTTTCTAATAATTGTTTAAATTTGCGTTGTTTCGCCGTCATCCTGATTTTTCAAAGTATACTGTGTCGTAGGTGTCGCATGTACTTTCCAAATGTCTTTAAGCATAGTTAACTACCTCATATACTTAGAACTAGGATATCGTCAGTAATAATTGCCAGACGTGACGATCCAGTATGTTGCTCAAGCGAAACAAAATCTTTTGCATAGATTCCGTCGGAAACGCCACTAGATTAATGTTAACGAAGTCATGTTATGGAATTAAATGCATGAATAATGAGCGCATTTTGATACCCACGAAGTATAATGCATTAGGATAGAAATCCCACTTAATATGCAAACATCCCGGAGGTTCCAGGAAGGCCACCTATTGCCGCGCCATAACCCTAACCAAAAGTTCAGCCGTAACCCCCAGCCCTACCTTCACCACAGTCCTAACCTTTACCCTGATCTTTATGCCCCTGTGACCTAGCACAAGGCAGCCTTATTTTAAGGATATTTCCTATTTCCCTGACCCATCTCTCAAAATTCACGAAATTATGAATTAACACGAAAGTACTTCATCACCAGACTAACGAAAACCACAGGTAACTAACGCTTGGTACGTGTGTTGTCAGTGCAGTAAATAACTGCGAAATTAACGTTAAATTGTCAAAAGAGCATTTAGCGAAAATTTTTATTTATTCCTGAAGAATTAATAGTCGAAGTCAAACAGATGTAGTCGCTGTTCTAGGCGAGCATATAAATGCATTATCTTTTAAAAAACACCAAAGCAAACTATTTCACGTAACAGAAACACTCTAATCATTGCTTCTTGGAGATTTTACTAGGTGAAGATCACCGTTGTTAATTCATGGTAGATCAACATATCAATCCACACTGCCACCTGCCTAGCTAATGGCCATCTTCGACAGAGACCGCACTGCTCATACAAATTAACAGTATACTGAAGATAGTATTACCGACAAAGAGCAGAGAGACTAAGGTGGCCATTCCTGGCTTACTAGTCGTCATCAGCCAGTCATACCCAATCTCGAAGCGTGGAACACCTGGAGTGTGATCCGGCGACCTGTTAGTTAGACGTCCAAAGCCTTTAAAACTTGCGCCACCTGATCGTTGTCTTGGCGATTGCAATCGGGAATATACAATAACGAAGGATAAACGCCCACCGATACTTTTTACGGGATTCAATCGTCCCGTTGTGCCTTAAGGACTCTCTCGCGCCCCAAGATCGGTGAGCGACCCTCTACATCACTAAAGGCATGACCTAACTAGCATTCATACAGCTTTAATCTGACCCCCCCGGCTTTGATCATGCACCGCATGGGAGATTTTAGCGCATATTGCTTCATGGCTAACTGTATTTTAATGCTCTGTCGAACGGGCCGTAAATTTGACTTAATGCTGCCCATCAAATTGCACCCGACACACCGTGGCAGATTCTCTTTATTTCATTGCATATTTTATTTCAATTATTTGGCGAAGTTTGAGCGCAATGACCGATCTTTTTCACTTGGTAGATTTGATGTGTGTGTGTGTAATTAATTTTTGATATGAGACCAGTGGTTTCACGTTTACCTTTATGGCAAACCTTAACATTGACAAAAATATATGGAAAATTTTTCTCTGATTTAGAATAGAATGTTTCTTGAGTTGCCTCAGATGTACTCTTTATATCTCGATGGCACAAAAAGTTTGGCAAGCTAAATTTTCTTTAGGATACTTTGACGATCAACGCGATGTCAAAAAAAGATGTTCAATCAGATGTCGGTTACTGTGTGAGCAGTGAACCAAAGTTCAAATAAGTATCGTTCTTTGGTTCGGGACAGCTAAAACAAATTAACCGGCTGTCAAACATATTGTAAGTAAGGGATTTAATTCTCATGTATTTGTGTCTCTTAAATTTAGCAACGCCGAGCATTTATAAAAGTGCACAAATAGTTAATAAGGCTACATAAAATATTTTGCGCAGTTAAGTGCCAAACATCAGGGAAGACGAGGTTGTGGAGAAGGCACGCTGGGGGTTTTTTTGATTGCTAACTTTGAGAGTTCACTATACTTTACACGATTTTTTAAAAAAATGAAGAAAGTTCTGGCAAAGTATAGGATCGCTCTATTGTTGCTTAAACATGTGATCAATTTTTCTAGCCGATTAGCTGTCGTGCAAACTGAAGCTTCATGCACTTTTAACAATTAATGTTTATTATCATTGACGATAATTGGCAAAATATGACTTTCCGCATGCAATATCAATATAACGTGATCTAAAATCGCTTAAAATTGTTTTGGGTAAAGCTCTCAGATTTATCTAACAGTTTTTTCTTGACGGTGAAAAAGGGCTAGTATATGTTCTTTATCTCTTAACTTAATGAAACTTTTGAAGTGCGATTTGAGTCGGCAATATTACTAACGTTGTGTTGTCATATTTATTATCGTGCAATATAATCTTAAAATATTCCAACCCCGTCAGGATGCCGCTTTGTAAACATGCTGCATGATAAGGAATTTCACAGACCTAATGAAGTAATCATTTTGAATAAAATACGCATTCCAGAAATTCGACTGTCATTTCTCGGGATTGCGAATTTACTGTGTATATTTCGCCTAGCAAAATAGATAGAACAAGGACATGTTTGGGGTCATAACGTCAGTTTGCTCATTTTGTCCCCGCCGTCCTCGAATTTAAACGCTCACTCCGACATACTTATTGGGGAATCTGCGAAAAAACGTTAAGGACAACGTAATGTGTACAGAAAAGCTTAAACCCCAAGTTAATCCTGGCAATCAGCATCAAAAATAAGCCGGGAAAGAACAGAGTAAGCGATTAAAACACTATTGCATCAGCCATTTCCGCGCGAAAAAGCAGAAACAAATATCGTTCAGGAATATAAAATGTCTGGATGGATTTTGATTTTTATTCTTCAAACTATTCAGTGGCCTATGAGCGGTACAATTTGAGTGTCGCCGTACATTTGCATATAGGGACATATGTGTATCTGTTTAATAAGGTAACAAATGGAATTTCACTGCCAAACATTCTTTCGTCTAATCTACAATCTATTGTTTGTAGGCTAATGCAAACAAAAACCTCATTTGATTCATATATTCAAAAATGTGCATTATTATACTTCAACTTATTTCGGTACAATTGATGCCGTGAGCAAAATTCCAAAGGTGTGTGTGTTTTAACGCAGAAAAAGTGTTTTACGAGGAATTAGCACTCACCAAAAACAAGAACTGCTTTTCCGTTACTGCGCATTGGCTTCTGCTGCCTTCATCGAACGCTTAGATAACTTTTTCTAAATTACATACCCAGCTATTTGTTTTGATGTTCTGCACGTTGTTTTCTT